TCTCCGACTGACTTAAACAAATTTCATTGAATGTGTTGTCTATAACACGTTTCGCAACAGATACATTTCAAGCTTTTATTTCGCATTTCAGCGAAATCCCAAATTCTTCTTCTGAAACGAGATTCCTCTTCTTGTACCGCGATGCACGCGCGCGCGTCGATTTTTAATTAAGATTTTTTACTGTACATAAAACAGTGGGGTCTCCAAGTACGTGATGAATTAATTGTCAATTGTATGGTCTATCGAACAGTTTTACGCAGACTATATTTTGTAAATAAGACAACATATAATCCACTTAGGAAAAATTTAACACATTATAAAAATGAGTCTTTATATCCTGATAGCCATATCAATAAGTATGCGCTTGTAATATTTTAGTTTTACTTAGTAGTTCTTATTAGAGCAGTAATTAAACCTAATGGCGTGTGATATTTATTTCGATGAGGGGAGCGAGCTTATATATAGTTCGTATATGAGGAATATCCACATTAATACTATATTTTAGATTTTTGTAGTAAAAAACAAAAAAAAGAAATGATTGTGCGCCCACATTAAGATGTGTTAAATGTTTTAAGATTCAATTTCCTAGAAAGATAAAGAGCGAAGATAAATAATGCTTTTTCACAGTAGCAATGTCGCACGATAGTATCATGCATCGCGGTACCGTTAATTGACATCTACGTCGCGATTTATTAATCCTCAGTTGTTTGTCAATCTTCAGATTATGATTAGATCTGTGAAAATTTTTGACTTCGCCTTCTATTGGCACAATCTCTCCTTTCTCCGGTTTCAGGTTCTTTACGTTTGTTCAATGATTATATGGCCGTCAGCGGGCGCACTGATTCTATCGAATTATTACTTTCCGTACGAATCTCTTTGGAGATACGAGATCTGTAATAATCGACTCTACACATCTAAACTGATAAATTCCATTTAAGTTTATACCAAGAAATGAACTCAATTATTGATATCTGCTATTTCTAGGTCACCCTGTGTACATATATATAAAACACAAGTTATTCATATATGAATAACATTCTTTTGAAATAAAAATTTAGTGCATGAAATGTACACATTCACTGGGGTGCCCCAGGAATCGCGCACATCTTCTAGAATACATAAAATACTTGATGCCGTCGAAAAATAATGATTAGCTGTATGAATAACCTTTTGACTGCTGAACGATTAGCACTTAAAGAACTCCTGAAGCAAATCAAGAACTTTAGAGGTGCGACGACGAATGAAAATCCTAACAGACTTCTAATACTTAAGGCACGGTAGCTGTTTGAGATACTTGATATGTGTGTAATAAATGTAAAAGGCGAAGTCGAATCGAGTTTTCGTTACGGAAAGATTGATCTTAAATTTATCGGAAAATTAACAGAGAAGGTGCGCGATTTCTGAAATTCTCTGTATATACGATAATGTGAAACGTTCACGCTGTCAAGTGTGCTTTCATGGGTCTACGCATATATACGAATGCACGTGTATATAAGTGAAGATAATCATGACCACGGCGATTATAATTAATGATATGTATAATTCTATCGAAGTATGTTAATGATAAATATAATTATAAATAATACTATTGTTATTATTGCTGCTGCTAATATTCTGTTATTACTATTCCTGCTACTATCATTACCTCTGCATTAATAATTACATTGCCATTATCGTGGCAATACATTTTTACAGCAAAGAATAGAATTAATCGAATATAAATCTTTTAATACAATAACTTTATTTGTAATATATCTGTGGTATATATTAGTTACGATTGTTTAAATAATATCTGTAATTATATTACATGATATTATTTACAGAGGAGAAGTACACACAACATTAAGTGAACAATTATTTTAAGAATTTAATTGAAGGCTTATATTGAATATACATTTTTTTCTAACGAAATTTGAAGTTTTTTATATTAAACAACAGACTCGGCGGCAGTTGTCGATTTAGGATTCTCCACTGCATTTCTTATGCAATTACTCGTAGAGAGAATGACATTTGAGGTAAAAGTGTTGGTGTCAGCGGTGATTTTCGTTAGGCAGCTTCTCACATTTATAATCATTTTTGTATATTCAACTGTCGCGGTGGCTGTCACTCCATTGGCATTGCTACTGATACGATTCAGCGTTGCTTGGGTCAGGTAAAGATTCCTCATGACGCAGGCTTGCA